TTGAAACTTTTCCAAACTTTGCCAAGAATATTCTAGATCACATAATTCAAATAAGGCGATTAACAATTAATTGGTGGTTATCTAATAAGATCTATTTCAAAATACCCATTCAATCCCCATTTTATAGGCAATTTCCTTAAACACCCCTTATAGGCCAGCTTCGTGAATGAGGTCTACTAACGGTAAGACTGACTTTTACTCATACATATATATAATGTTAGACTTTTAATGTTATATATAGTATATGGTGTATTTTACACTTTTAAAATACTAGGTGGTCAAATTTAATAATTATACTTTTAATTTAATTAAATTGTAAACCAAAACTTTATGGATTTATTAAATCTCCTTTAATTATATACTTTAATTAATTAATAAAACTTTAAGGATGTGATTTGAATTTTTCAAAACAATACTAGTGTTTAAGAATTTAACATTTATAAATTAACTTTTAATCAACATTTAAATTCAAAAACTTGAGGGCAAGTTTTGAAACATTTCAAAACATTAGGGTTTTAACTATTTAAATTTCAAAAACAAAACTTTTAAGTTCAAATTCAAACTATAAAATCTAAAGGGATTAATTTGAAACTTTTCCAAACTTTGCCAAGAATATTCTAGATCACATAATTCAAATAAGGCGATTAACAATTAATTGGTGGTTATCTAATAAGATCTATTTCAAATTCTTGCAAAATAATGATCAAATAATTCAAATAATTTAACATTTATCAAATAAGGTAACAATTATCTAATTAGATGACCAAAATCTTTTATTTTGACAAAGATAATCACAAGGAATCAACAAAATTCGTATTTTATTAATTTTAAACAATTATGGCAATTATCCTAAGTCAAAATAGGTAAAAATCCCGAAAATCCGCCTAACTGACGCTCGAACTCGCCGAGTTCCTCTATGGACTCGCCGAGTTGGAGCTACTCACCGAGTCCACATTGGAACTCGCTGGGTTCATCAGTCAGGGGGCCAAAAAATCGATTTTTGCAACAAGAATGAATATACTAGGCATCAATACAATAGAAACCAATCAAGGCTCTGATACCACTGTTGGGTTTTAGCCATAAGAACATCCTATGTGCTCATACAAACCCTAATGCTTGGATCTAGGTTTCTCTATTGTACATGCAATTCATCCAAGACTATAAACCCTAATTCTAGCTTATGATAATCAATATTAACATAATAATGGGTTTAAGATATTACCTTGATTGTTATGTAGCAATAACAATCATAATTCCTCCTTGTAATGACTTTAGAAAGCTTAGAGTCACAAATGTCACTCCTCTAATGGTTCACAAACACCTAGAGCAAGAGGATGAAGAACAAGGAGAGTGGAGGCTGCCTAAAATCGTCCAAAACCCTAGAAGATCTCATCACCAGGTTTTTGGGGCCTAAGGGTGCTATTTATACATGTAGGCTATTAGAGTTTTAAACTAGGAAACCCTAATCTGACTGCTTAAGCCCTAAGCGGCCCATGGATTCCTTTGGTATATCTCTTGGACGATTGCTAATGGGCTTCCCCTTAGAATTAGTCCAACTTATATATTATTAAGTAATCCATAGCCCAAATGCAATTATCTTATAATTACAGTTCTAGTCCCTTAAGTTTAATTAATCTCTTTTAGCCACAAAATTAATAATCAATTAATTCTTAACTAATATTAATTAAACAATATGATTTCTCCTTTAATATATTATTCTCATAATATATTAATAAATCATAATTAATCCTCTCTCTCCATAATTCATCCTATCAAGTTGCTTTGGTGAAGGCAACCCAAAAAGACCATGCACCATCGGGTCAAGTACATACTAAAATAGTTATGGACTTAGACACTAATCCAACACAAGCATCCAAGCTCCAAACTCCAAGCTCCATACTCCATACTACATGTTGCCTGCAAAATAGATCAAAAATGGTGAAGTACCAGACATTCTTACTGAAATATGCAATTACCCATATAATTAACTAACAGTAAGAATTATGAAGTACAATGCTATGAAAGGATGAAAATAAACAAGCAAAATAGGTGCATAAAATGCACGTATCAACTAGTTTCTTTTTTTATTTACTTAATTTATTTGTTTAAATTTAGAAGATAAAAAACATTTTAATTTTAATAATTCATTATTTTTTCTTATAAATCCATAGTTCTCAAATCTTTAGACCTTCGTATGTAACTTTTTAAAAAAAATTAACCCATGTAATACATGAGTCTCACAACTAGTTCTCTTATAAAGTGCATTTAGTTTAGGTAGCATTTTCTTATTTAAGTCTTCTAATTTCATTTGGGAAGAAAAAGTGCAGAAAATTGTTCCAAGTATTGTGTGTTCTTCTGCACTCTATCTTCTTGGAGGCTAACTCACTTAAGGGTCATATCATTTGGTGCTTTCATTCCTGATCTTCCAACCATGCCTCCCCGTAAAGATACGACAACCGATATCCCTCTTAAACCAGAAAACAAACTCAATAAGAATCCACTAGACCACATTCAAGTACTTCTTCATCTTGCCATCGCCACCAACACCCGACTTGACACCCTCACCAAAAACATCACGAATCTGGTCAACATCATCGCCACTCAACATACCAACCAACCCCCACATCTACTGTCACCGCCGCCGCCGATCAACCACAACACTCGGTTACCGAAAATCCATCTCCCAACATTTAACGACTCTAACCCCCTCGATTGGATCTTTCAAGCCACTAGTTACTTTGACTATTACTCCATTCAACCCACCCAACGTATCTTGTTGGCTCAATTCTACTTTACCGGCGAGGCCCTAAATTGGTAAAAATACTTAGCCAAAAACAACCTTCTCACTTTGTGGCCTGAGTTTTCCCGTGCTCTTGAACTCCACTTTGGCCTGTTGTCTTTTGAGAACCACCAAGCTGCTTTTTTTAAACTCAAACAAACCACCACAGTCACCGAGTATGTGCAAATTTCGAACGGTTAAGTAATATGGTCGTTGGGTTGCAACCAGAAGCATTGCTAAATTGATTTTTTTTTCTAGTCTACGACCAACTATCCAAAATGAGTTATCTATCCTTAAACCTACTTCCTTCACCCAAGCAGTTGGCTTAGCAAAACTCTTGGAAGAAAAAGTCACCACCTCAGCTTCCCCTGCTGCTATCAGCCTCGTCGAGTCCTTCCAACCATCAACCCTTTTACCGACCCCCACCAACGTATCCTCCGTCTTGGTACCTGCTTCCACCGCTATCACTTATGCCCAACTAACTGCATCTGCACCACTGCCCACCACTCGCTTATCACCGGGTCAACTACATCAAAGGCGTGTTGCCAAGCTTTGTTTTCGTCGCCCTGAACGCTACACACTGGAACACCGTTGCAATCTCTCTCTCTCTCTCTCTCTCTCTCTCTCTTTCTCTTTCTCTCTCTCTCTCTCTCTCTCTCTCTCTCTCTCCCCCCCCCCCAATTTTTACTCATTATGGATAATACACCAGACCTTCCAACAGATTCCACCTTACCATTGCTAACTGACAATCCCACTGTTCCACATTTTCTTTCTATTTCACCGACTATTTTTTTTTTTTTCAGGATGACTACCGCAACCTCTATGAAACTCATTGGTCTTATTAAGGACCGCCCATCTAGCATACTTGTCGACTCCAACAGTACCGTCGCCTCCTTGCTCAACTTAACAGTCCAACCAACGCCTCCATTTCCGGTGCTCGTCGGAAATAGTGAACCACTACATTGCCACGGGTATTGCCCTCACATTCCTGTCACCTTGGATCGAACCTCATTCCTGGTACTGCTTTTTCTTTTTTCCTTCACGGGATGTGAACTTATTTTGGGTTATGAGTGGCTTTGCTCTTTAGGCCCCATTACGACGGATTTCTCAGTTCCCTCTTTATCCTTTTGGTTTAACAACCAACAAGTTACCATACACGGCCTTCGTACACCGATAAACCATGACCTGTTATCATCTCCGACCTTGAGGACAAGATCTCGTCTCAAGGGGAGGGCATTGATACAGCCTTGGACTCAACTCAACACTACAAGCCCATGGAAGATCAACTGACCACAATCGGGCCGAAAGCTGCTATTGAGATAAAAGCTCCAGGAGGGTCAAAAGGAATTAGTCAATTACATTAAGCACATATTAGATCAGTTAGTGGAAGAAGTAGTTTTCCCAACATGCATGATCTCCTTTCCATTGCCAATGTTCTCTAATAAAGTGCATTTAGTTTAGGTAATATTTTCTTATTTAAGTTTTGTAATTTCATTTGGGAAGAAAAAGTACAAAAAATTATTCCAAGTATTGTGTGTTCTTCTTCTTCACTCTATCTTCTTAGAGACTAACCCACTTAAGGGTCATATCAAATACTCATCCATAATATGTATGCAATAAAAATTAAAAATATATATGGTAACTTTAAATGACTTCTCATTTACCGGTTATTAACATACTATGTATATACATATTTAGGAATTATATATATGATATCATGTGTGTAATTGAAAATCCATGCCAATTTTAACACGTGCTAAACTAGAAATAGAGGATCACATTACCAAAATAAATCCACAAATAATTCTCATCATGGGCATATCTAAATAGAAAAAAATGACAGGAAGATGGAGATGCAAGCTAAACAATCTTATATGAATACTAGCAATTTACAATTCATTTTTAACAAATTCTAACTAACAAATAACTACTATCATATTATCATCCAACGATAGTTTAAGTTAACATGCTTCCACTCAACAAACTTTAAGAACTAAAGTTTTCTTTGTAATTAAGTTTTGTACTTAAACATATATTCTATATTCATAGGGATCTAGAAGTTGGTAAAGGATAGGCGAGACATGTTCCCAAAAAACAAGGGTTGAAACTGTCAATCTAAAAAAGTAAAGGGGGTCTATATGAGTTTATAACGCAAATGCGGTAGTTAGACTGTAAATGTCCTATTAAAATAATGGATGTTGATTGCTAACTAACCTTTAGACTTTGGACTCATCACCATGGCAGCTGAGGAGAGAGAAACAGTGTCAGAGAGAGAAACAGAAGAGAGTCAAAGAGAGATCTGAAGAACAACAATGGTGAGAGCACCTTGCGTTGACAAAAATGGTATCAAGAAAGGAGCTTGGAGCGAAGAAGAAGATAACCAATTACGAGCTTACGTTCAACGTTATGGCCATTGGAATTGGCGTGAACTTCCCAAATATGCAGGTACCATCGATTTTTCATCCATTCCTGGTCTTCATATCCGTTTGAATTTCACCCAATTGCACTTCTTTCGAATTGCGTCTTTGTTCTCAATTGCGAACTGTATATTTCGAGGAAAATGGGGAGAAATTTCGTTTCTGGTTTCAATCTGATATTATCGTTTCTGTTCCCCATTTTATCTTTTGTCAATAGCGAAATTCACAAGCTTTTAATCGCTAGTTCGAGATAATCATTAAATTTCTGTTTAATTTCTCTAAAAAAAAACTAGGGTTAGCTAGATGTGGCAAGAGTTGTAGATTGCGTTGGATGAATTATCTTCGACCAACTGTGAAACGTGGAAATTTTAGTAAAGAAGAAGAAGATCTCATCGACAAGTATCATAGAGAAATGGGAAACAAGTATGTGATCCAATCTCATTTTCACCTTTTCGAATTGGAGGAATCTGTTCAATGTTTATACCTTTTTCGCTTCTAAAATCAGTTTTCTATGACATAATCATAAATGGCTAAACATAATCCACCATTTATGCATTGTTTTGGCTACGCTTATATAAATTTGTGATTGTTTTCCAGGTGGTCAGCCATAGCTGCAAAATTACCAGGAAGAAGTGATAACGAGATCAAAAACCATTGGCACACACACCTGAAAAAACGCACTTCTAAACACAATCAAGATTTCTCCAAAAAAGAAGAAAGTTCTTCAATCGAACAGATTATGCAATTTACAAGTCAACCTCCAAGTTTTATTTCCAATGAGTCAATAGCATCTCACAGATTATCAAATGAGTCATTGGTATCCGAAAGAGTTTCTGATGACACATCATCACATTCTTCACGTATAGAGAATCGATTACTCATAGATTTAAATCAAGAATATGTTTTAGAGGAGGAATGAAGATAAGGGTATCAAGTGGAAAGCTGATATGACAAAAGTAACTGTTTCAAAAGAGGTAAAGTCTTTAATCCCGAATGAAAGGATTGAAAACTTTTTAACTGTTTGCTGTAAATTAAACAACAATTTCCTCAACTTCGATATCAATTTGTTATTTCTTTCTTTCTTTATAAAATCTGTCTTAATCATGATTTTGAGTTTTGGGTGTTGCAACTTACAAAAACATGAATGAGTGGGATTTGTAACTTATAAGCTTACACCTACTACAACAGGCATAGGAAATGACCAAAATGCCCCTAGTGAAACACAATGAGTAAAACTGAACCTATTTAAAGAGGGAAAAAGGGTTTAATTGTGCCCCACCCATCTTCCAAATCTTGAGTGATGCCTTAACATTGATGCCAGTTGCATTGTTGAACAAGAATACTTTGGCTGATTCATAGATTGCCTTTGTAGGATATACTCTTGATGTTATCACTGTTCTTCCTCCTTGTGCAAAGCTTTCTACTATTGAATGATCCACCTGTATTAAGGGCAAATTTGTAAAACAGTCATTTTATTACAAACCAAGACCAAAAAAACAAAAAAGAAAACAAAAAAGAAAACGCTACAAGAACCTCAAATAGAATTTTTTGGGACTAAAGTTGCAAGAGAAAACTTTTTGGGGCCAAAATTGAAAAAAAAATCAACTCGGGGACCAAAAATGTAATTTATGATTATCTTTTATAAACCCTAGTTTTAGAGAAGTCACATACCAATAATCTCATGTTGTAGTTTTCACCATGAAGGACAGGAACACTACTTCCATACACCATTTTGCCCACATCTAAAAGCTTTGATGATCTACATGGAAAATTAAATTCCATAAATTGTTTAGCAAACTAAATAAGGGCAAAAGTGGAAGAAGGAAAAGAAGCTAATAGCAACCTTGATTCGTCAGCACAAAAATAAGTTCTCGAGGTGCCATCAATGTTTCTTGCAATGTAGAAATACACTGGAGTTTGCTCTGTTAGTGATGCATCGGCTAGGACCACGAGCCCAAACGGTCCCAAAACACCCCTTGCGGCTGAACCATCGCTTGTGGTGCAGTTGAACAAAACATCGGCTTCTAGGGTTGCACCCAACATCGCACTGTCTACCTCGAATGAGGCAATTATGTCCAACTATAATATTTGTCAAATAAATTATCAGTCCATATCACTGTTAACTACATAAAAAAAGTTATTCTTCTGTTAACTCTGAGTTATCTATTTGGCCTACACTGTAAACTAGTTACACAGTGACTCACTGACTGGTGTTTTCAAGGAGGCCAATCCACAGGGGATAGATAAAATGAAAATGGTTGGTACAATACCTGTGTGGCGGAACCTATATCAAGTGGTATGAGTGATCCAGGCTGCAACTCCACGTCTTTAAATTCGTTGTGCTTTTTAGACCTCAAAGTTTCGACTTCCTCAACCGGCCATTGAATCAAATTTCTTTGTGTCTTAGTGTCCAATATCACGGATCTTGGAACGTTCTGTAAATTAATTTTAAAAAGAAATAATCGCATCTCTTTTAAAAAAACTTATAAAATTCTACTTTTTAAGTATATATTTACTTTAATGGATAATTAATAATTAATGGATTTTAATAGCATCTCATTATCATATCATCCATATAAAGTGACAAAAGTGTCACGTTGTCTAGATGTTGAAATGTACCATGATCGTATTTATTTAATTGTTTGGAGAGTGTAAATATTATTAAAGTGTTTATAATTAATTAATTGTTTATATACCAAAATATTTGCCCATCCTTTAATAAGGTCATCTTTTTGAGGATCCGTTTCACCAACATATCCCCAAAGAACCCGTCTCTTCTTACTCGGGTCATAAAACGTCTTCGAAGCATAAAACTTCCCATAATCATATCTCAACCCGATACCCACATCCATTTCCGGATCATCCGGGTACCATTTATCCTTCACCGGGTCGTATGACCCGATCGCATACCAATCATGTCTATCCTCATCTCCACTCTGCTTCAACACATACTTAACACCACCCGAACCGGACCCATGATCCGACATATCCAACCCATTCGTATCAGTAGTAGATACCGGGTAAAGATCCACACACTCCCACATACCCGTACCCGGAACCGAATGCAACACATCATCCAACAACTCAAAGTGTGTGAAATTGGTGGTGTGGTAGACGAGAGCACACCCGATCGTATCATTATGTTTCGATCCCATCACCATTCGGTATTTACCGTCGGGTCCGATCCAGAGAGTGGAAGGGTCCCGGAAATCTTTGAGGCCGACGCCGGGAGGGGGGAAGAGGATGGGGTTGCCGGAGTATTTGATCCAGTCGAGGAGGAGGGGGTCGGAGGAGTTGAGAGGGTATGCGAGACATTGAAGCTGGGAGAGATCGAAGGCGTTGCCGCTGTAGAGCATGATGATTTGGCCGTCGGGGAGGATGGTGGCGGAGCCGGTCATGACGCCTTGGATGTCGTACCAGTGATCGGGAACCATGGCGAGAGGGAGGTGGAACCAGTTGATTAGGTCTTTGGAGACGGCGTGTCCCCATGTGATGTTGCCCCAAATGGCGGAATCCGGGTTGTACTGGTAGAATAAATGGTACCAACCCATGTGGTATAATGGACCTGAAAATTCAAAATCCAATGAATCCAAATATTACTACAAACTAAAATAAAATTAAAAAACAAAAAATCACATTTTTAACATTACCAATCATGATCTTATTATTTCTTATTTTTTAATAATATATATATATATATATATATTTAACTTCTTGTTTTTTATATTCGTTGGATAGTCTATGGTTTACATCAATAATATGTGCTATTTTGATGTTGAGGTTTTGGAATAATGAGAAGATTTTAATAGTCGAACATTTTAATAATGGATTTTTGTGTTTAATATGGGTTTAGTATGTGTATTGAGATTATATGAGGGTTTTCAAGGAAAATGTGAGAATACAAATGCCAAAAGTATAATAATCACGTTATTTAAGTTAATTATGTAGTGTCATGTGACACTTCGATACAATATTCTAATAATGTGATTATTGTGTAACTATTTATGCATGAAGTACATATATTAATTAAAAAGTATTAATATTCGAAACATGAATAAATAATTTTTTTAATACGAATCTGAAATATTAATCTTTTCCCTAATCACTACGCAGGTCAAATGAAAAGTCAAAAAAATCTCAACCAAAACTACTTTACCAAACTTTTATTAATTAACTAAAATTTTAATAAAACCTAAAATTATCTAATATTTCATGTCCTAAACCAATGTAACACTTACTTTTTTTTTTTCAAATAAAATTTCTCTAATAGTTACAACCTTTATTTAAATCTATAAAGTCGAAATATAAGGTGCTTAATAGTTGTTTGTTACTTATTGATTGAATTAGTTGTAAACCGTAAATTTGACCGGATAAAAGACATATAAATTTGCTCATTATGAACAAATCCAAAATCCTTGTAGACAAAGCCAATCATCAGTTCCCAACCATGGGGCGAATGAAATCCGATACATAAATCAGTTAATAAAAGAAGAGAAAAAACTTTTATTGTGTCACTTAAGTTATATAGGAATTCCTGAACCCAAGAGTTAAGAATAACAAGTTCTTTATTACCCAAAAGAGAATAACCACTTAGAATAATGAAACAGATTATATTTGTCGAGAAGTGCAAAATCGTATGAATACGACCCTCGTTGTGTATCTTCATTAATTGGAGAATTTCATATATGCCCTTCTTAAACATCAAAATATCATATTTACCCAACTTAATTTCTAAATATCATATTTACCCTTCCTAAAATTTCTAAATATCATATTTACCATTCATAAAATTTCAAAATATCATATATGTCCTTTTTAAACATCATAATATCATATATGCCCTTCTTAAATATCAAAATATCGTATATGTACTTTTTAAACATTAAAATATCAATGGTAATATCTAAAATATCCTTCATCTACAACATAATCAACAAAAAACTAAACAATCAAAATATACATTCCATAGAGAGGGTTGAAGATGAATATTTTTGTTTGTCAAGAGGACGACATTCCAACAATTTAGAAGTTCATATTCCATTATCATAGAATTAAGGATAATATTGTTAATTTTTTTAATTATTATAGTAATTTTAAGTTATAAAAATGATTATAAAATATTAAAAACATTATAAAAAAGGATTTGGGTAAATATGATATTTTGAAGGTTTATGAAGGGTAAATATGATATTAAAAAATTAAGCTGGGCAAATATGATATTTTGAGGTTTAAGATAGGCATATATGAAATTCTCCCTATAAAAAAAGTAATGACCCGAGTTATAAACTTCTATATAAGTAGTTTGAATTTGATTGAGAAAAACTGAACATTTTATTACCCTCAACATTTTAAACTTCTTATTCTTTTATTAACGATGGACATCATACCTATAATATCTATTTTAATTGCACACAACTTTTTTTATTTTGTATATTTCTCACAAGCATTTTAAATAATTAAGGATTAATAACTTTTTTTACTAATGCACATGTCAAATGAAATGATAATAATTCATTAAATGAATACGTACCATCAGGGTCTGAAGTGAAGATCAGTAAAATCCATCAAAATACGCCAGAACCCAACATAAACAAATACAAAACATACATTAGAAAATCATCATTTCCAAATTCCAAAACAAATTAAATAAAAAATTATAATGTTATTTAATTCTTGAGAAATTAAATTACCTCCTACTTTTTATACCTACAATTATTCCTACTCACTAAAATTATGACAAATCATTATTCAATTTAATTGTAATTGATATATTCCTAATATAGCCTTAATGAGTTAGTTAAAAAAATATGGAATGATAACACTTGTCATAATTTTATTGGGTAGGAACATTTGTAGGCATAAAAAGTAGGAATCAATTTAATTTCTCTTAATTCTTTATATCAACAACATAATCATTAAAGGCTACATACCGCTGATGAAATTCTTATCGGGTTGAAAATGGTAAGCAGATCGTTGCCATTCTATGCTATCATCACCACCACCCATCTTCTCCGGCCACCCCACCCCTCTTGACGACGGTTTCACCTCAATTCCCGACGATGCTGACGTGGTTGTGGTGGTAGTGGACTGCCGGCCACCTTGTGGTCTTTGTAATTGGTTGTACATTACAACAACCATAGATGAAAGGACTAGCATGGAAACAAAGAAACCGGCGAGGACTTTAACGATAGAAGATCCATCTGCCGGAGATCCGGTGGAATCTGGCCGGCGTTCTAGGTCATCCCGATCAATGAGAGGGGTCGTGGAAGAATCCATAGTGGACTGATGAGTGATGACACTTCTTGACACACTGTGTAAACCTCAAGAATGTCTTTAAGGTTTTATAGGATCTTGACAACTTAGCTTAGGGTTTGGTGGTATTAGTGGGCCCAAAGACATATATAAATTCGAAAAAGAATTCATTCTTTAAAAAAAAAAAAAATTTTGTAAAGTATTATGTTTAGCAAGAACAACCTTTATTTGCATCGAAAGCCAATCATGTTTAGCAAGAACAACTTAGCATAAAGAAAGCAATTATAGTTCAATTAAACTACATAACTGGTCCCTGTGATTCTAACACCTTCTAATCTAATCTTGAACTAAACTAATATTTTAAAAGAGACGACCTTTCAACTTTTCCAAAAAGAAACTCATTTTCCAAGTCTTCTCTCTCTCAACTTTATGGATATGATTTGTTATAACGATGGTCTTTGATTTTTTTTTTTCTCCGTGTTTGTTAAATTTCACCATTAAACGCATATAAAATGACCATATTACATCACTTTTATTATTTCATTATTACAAGAAAAATACATAAATGGCATGGTTTTTATTTTATTTTATTTTTTATTTTTTTTTTATTTTCGGAAAATGGCAAATATTATAACTAGGGTTGTTCGCGGTTTGGTTTGGTGCGGTTTAAAGTTGAAACCACAAACCACACCGCATATGCGGTTTGAGTTTTTTGGAAACTGTAAGTCCAAAATCTGCTTGTGTATCAATCAGATCCGTTTGATGGTATGGAATCCTAATCAAACGGATGATGTCAGATCAAAATAAAAGAGAAGAAGAAGAAGAAGAATATGAATCTTGTATGATTTGATTAGAATGAAGTTCTTTACACAAGAATCATACACTAACACACACACTTATGCTCATTTCTCTCTCTCTTGACCGTAAACTCATTTGTTCATCAATCACTCCTCAACCATCTAACACCTATATATATACTTAGGGAATATGGACCATAAATGGGTTTACGGTTGTAAACACCCATTGGGTTGTAAACACTTTTCGGTTCTAGACGGAAAATTACAATTACCTAGAAAATCAAAATATAAACCATAATTTTAGACCCAACAATCTCCCCCTTGGTTTATAGCTTTATTTTCTAATTAACCCAACAAGCTCCCCTAAAAATGTAGCTGGCTTTTCTTGTTAATCTTTATTTGGGAGCTTGGCCTCAACTTTAATCTTCAATTTCTTCAAGGCTTCAAAATGAACTTGATTAATTTTCAATGAATGATTTCATCTTGAGCAGTTGAACTTTTCTTTAGAATTTGGCTTTGAACGCACATTGGGTGGGGAGGCTTCATGTAGAGATTCTTGAAAAATGACGCTTTCAGCTTGAGAATATTCAGATAGAATAATAGAGAGAACTAATCTTCTGGATCACTTCAGCAGATACAAAAATATCAGGAAATTGATTGAGGAGACTTCAATGCAATCTGTCACATAATCTTCAAGTCAGCTTCACCTTGCTACTGGGGTAGAAAAATTGAATGTTGAAAGAATAGTCCCCATTTATTGCTCCTTCGAATGAGAACTCTTCGATGATCACAAATGAAACCTTGGCTCAGAAAATTTTGATTCAGTCCCCATCAGTCTTATCTACATCTGAATTCACTTTTCAAGACAAAACAAAATTTGATATAGACACAAAACTAAAAACAAAGTTAGCACAAAATATTTTGGATTTTTCATATTTTCTGAAAAAAAAAATAAAACAAAAACAAAAATATTTTTGAATTTTAGATTTTTCTGAACAAGAAATAAAAGAGAAATAACACTATTTTTTTTTTTTGATTTTTAATTTTTTGATTTTTGATTTTTCTGATTTCAATTAACTAATTTATATTATTAACTTGAAGAACCAAAAGTTAAATCAATTAGACTATTTACGACCAAGAGTTTACGGCCGTAACCAATTTGCAACTTGAGGAGTTTACGGTCGGAAGCTTGTTTATGGCCGCAAATGAGTTTTCGGTCAGAGTTTCCGGTCTGAATAGTTTTCGGTCTATGCAGATTCAGTAGATTATAGTTGTGAAAGACGTTTACGGCCGTACTCTCTTCAACAGTCTTGACCGTAAACGTCCAGATGAGATGAAAACACGAATCCTTCTAGCAATTTTGATCCCTTTAGCTTGAAAATCGTAGAATCAAGCCTTGAATGGTGAAGAACCTGAATATCATTTAACCGAGAGCATGATTGAGATTTGTTTTGAGACCGGATTGCTCTGATACCAATTGTAAGTCCCAAATCTGCTTGTGTATCAATCAGATCCAATTGATGGTGCAGAATCCCAATCAAACGGATGATGTCAGATCAAAATAGAAGAGAAGAAGAAGAATAATAATATAAATCTTGTATGATTTGATTAAAATGAAGTTCCTTACACAAGATTCACACACTAACACACACTTATGCTCATTTCTCTCTCTCTTGGTCGTAAAATCATTGGTTCATCAATCACTCCTCAACCACCTAACACCTATATATATATATATATATATATATATATATATATATATATATATATATATATATATATATATATATATACTTGGCGAAAATGAGCTGTAAATGGTTTAACGGCCGTAAACACCCATTGGACTGCAAACACTTTTCGGTCCTAGACGGAAAATAACAATTACCTAGAAAAACAAAGTATAAACCATAATTTTAGACCCAACAGAAACCGCAAACCACACCGCAAAAGCTCTAAACCGCAGTATACGGTGCAGTTTATGCGGACGGTTTGTGTGCGATTTATTCGGTTTGATAAGTTGTTCCTATTTATAACTTTTGTTCATATTCATTCCATTTAAACACTTTCAAAATTTATTATTTATGTTGCATACTCTTTAAAAAACATAGATATTGCAAACAAAAAAAACCACAAAATGTTTTACTAAGTTGTTGTGATTTATAAAATTTGATATCATAGTCTTTTAAGTCTTTAATTACCTTATTTAACCATCATGATATGGAAAAAAGTTATTCGACAGTATGAAGTATTTGGTGATTGGAAACTTTGATATATATATATATATATATACACACACACACACACACACACACACACACACACACACAATTTTTATTAATACGATGCGGTGCAGTTTGAACCACAGTTTGGTAATTATAAACCGCAAACCGCACCGCATAGTTTGGTTTGACAAAATTATGAACCGCAAACGGCACCATAAAATTCTAAACCGCATTATGTGGTGCGGTGTGGGCGGTTTATGAGGTTTTTTGCACACCCATAATTATAACAACCCACATCAAGGTGACGTGGAGGAAAATACAAGCACATAGAGAGTAAAAAGAAAAGAAAAGGAGAACTGGAAAAACACATGAGAAAATTACAAACAAAGGAAAGAACATAAATTTCAAACTCCCCAATCCATTTTTTTAAATGATCCTCTATGCTTGCACTATATGACTGTTATTGCTTTTATTCTTCCCACTGTATTCGTCGGGACTATTGAGTTTTTTTTTTCGAAAATCCTTTTGTTTCTATCAATCCATATGCACCATAAAACTTCACTTAATATCACATTTAGCATTCTTTTAAATTTACACTTCAACCATCGTGAGATGAAGAGGAGCATATTTTCCAACGAAAGAAATCTGTCACATCTAATTTCACACCAAGCAAGGATCGAATCCATGATTGCCATCACTACAAGACATGTTAGCAAAATGTGATCACTTGTCTCCTCCTTCATATTACATACACCACACGTGATATTTGGAATTATGATTCCTTTGTTTCTTAATGCCACTGCATATGATATTCTTCCAAGTTTTGCTCTCCAACTGAAGCATATGATCTTAAAGTGGATCAACTTATCCTAGTCAAATGGTCCATCATTGATGACATGTCCCGCAAGTTCTAATCATTCACGTACAGACATACCATAAACTTGCCGTCTTTCACAAAATCAGAAGCCTAGCAACAGTCAATTGAATTCCACGAAACAATTTCCTAGGGATCAATGTTATAGTGCATCAAACAATTATGTGTTTCTGTTATGTTTTCCACACCCCTATGTTGGATCTATTAGCAAAAATCAAACCAATGCCTCCCATCTAAATTATAGATATATCGAATTACTTTTGACCAAATAGAAGAGTCATCAAATTTCAAGCACCACATCCCTTTAGCCAAAAAAAAAAAATATTCAGGGCTTTAATAGACCAAAGCCCGATGCCTCCCACCTTTTTTGTTGTTCGTTTTTCTCCCTTGTGATTGTGAAGATGGTGACTTTGTAAGATGGTGGCTTCTACAAATTAAAGCCACAATCTTGAAATTAAGGAAAAGATGTGGTTCGTTCCATTGCTCAAATATGTAAAAAGAAAGATATAAGCATTTAACAGAGTTAGAGGAATGTGCCATGAATGTTACAAAATAAAACAACCAGCATAGGATAGTGAGAAAAAAGGTTATACTAAATGTGTAATTATGTAACAAGCCACATGTACCCTTTCCGTAATCTATTCTTATAGTTATATACATAATCTAAAAAGAAGTTTTAATGAGTTTAAAACATTAGGTATTTGAAAATTTGTTCTAATTTGAAATGCGTATAATATATATATATATATATATATATATATAATATATATATATATATATATATATATATATATATATATATATATATATATAACGACGGAATTTTTAAAAACAAAATTTTCATTTTTCAACAACCAAATTTTTAAATATAAAACATTCTCAAAAAGTATTCCACAATAGTTATCAAATTAAACATATCCCAAGATGACAATCAAATGTCCTCATGGTGTGTACGGTTCACGCCGTCGCCTTTCTACGGTCCTCGCTAGTACCTGAAACACATAACACAACAACTGTAAGCATAAATGCTTAGTGAGTTTCCCAATATACCACATACAACACATACGCCTCTCGAGGCTACTGTACGACCCTCCGGTCGATATGTCTCAGCGGGACCCTCCAGTCCCATAG